TCTCTCTCTCTCTCTCTCTCTCTCTCTCTCTCTTCCCCCCGTATCCTACCTTCACTCAGAACTGCGACACGTTTTCCACCACCTCATCCCAACAATCCTTTCTTCTCTCCCCTCAACGCGACGGATACTGACGCGTCATTCGACATGCGTAGTCTTTGCATGGGTTTCATTTGATCACGTTGATTTCATTGAAGAAAATTACATCGGAGTCGCACGTAAATCCGGAGAATTTGTCTCGTGAAGAACGTTCGTCGGACAACATGAACATCGTTCGCAAGTGGTACGGGTATTTGTTCGCCAGCAGTATCATCGAACGAAAAATATCAAAGAGGAAATATCAAAGAGAAAAATGAGGAGAGAGAGACAGAGTGGGGGGGGAAAGGAGGGAGAGAAGGAAACGAGAGACCGCGACGTTAATTCTTCCAACTGCTGAAAACTGCCACTCGCTCGCGGAGGCGAATATATGCGCGAGCCATAATTTTCTTTCAATGATTTACCACGGGCTAATTGCAGAATGCAGCGCGCGCGCGCGCGCGCTCGGTAATATCGCTTTGCAGGGTTACGTCCGGGGGAGGTAGCTATACTTTAGTTTGCAATTTAAACTTTACTTCCTCCGGAATTGATTAGCTTTTAGTAATTAAGCAAGCAACGCCTTGGACCCCCGCCCCCCCCCTCCGCCCGTTCCCTACGCCGCATTCGCCTGCTTCCCCCTCCCTCCCTCGACTCTCTTCCACCGCCTCGGCGTTCCCTTCCCTCCCCGACATCCTCCACCTCATCCACATCCTCCTTCTTCTTCTTCTCCTCCTCCTCCGCCTCCGCACCATCTCATTCCCTTCGCCCTTCCCCGTCGCTATTTCCCTTTTCTCGTTCGAGTTCGGTCATACTATTCCATTTCGGCGAGAGCGCGCCTGCGCGAGCTCGCGCGCGCGTACATACGTACGTACGCACGCACGCACGTATATGCACGCGCACGCACACGAGCGCGTTGATTCTTCCGTCCTGTTCACCACCCCGCGCGCGAGTCTCCCTCCCTTAACGCCCTGATGTACCCTCTCTTCGTAAGTGCCTTGTTTCGCCACTGATTCCTCATCCGGTCGGCTATGCGCCCGTTTTCGATCTTATTGAGAACGACACGAAAGGGGGAGGGAGGGGAGGGGGCGAGTGAGTCGCTCGTGTTTCGTTGAAAAAAATGCGATTGAGCCTCAGATCTCGTGCATTACGATAACGATTGGTTTGTCCTTTTTTAGCTGCGCTGCTGAATTGATGCGATAAGTTAGAGTGAGAGGAAATATAGAAGTCTCATTCTATACTTATTGCACCAGTTCAACAGTGTACCTAAAAAGAACAGACTAAACATAAGTTGAAAAGTTCGATTTTCCTAAGTTGTAGTTAAGTCTATCATTTCTGTCAATTTCTCGCAAACACATTGCGTGTGATCCTCATATATATGCATTCAGATATATGCATGTGAAACGAATAAATTTGAACATCGAATGCACATCGGTTGTGTTTAACGCGAAATGCACGTCGAGCATATGGCGCGGAATTGCTCATTCGTGTAGAAGCATCATAGGCTCGCAAGAGATGACTCGGGATTGAGCCTTGCGATCGCGCGAGTCGCGAATATCACGGGGTGAATCTTTCGATAGATAGCTCGTCGGATAAGTAGCATCGGTGTGCACGGCCCTGCCACTGAGAACCGTCGCCGACGCGATTTGAATATCAATTTGTCGGCCGAAATTTCACGGGGTGATGTATCCTTTTATCAGGATACGCGGGGGGGGGCACTTCGCGATATAATTCTCGCGACCGACAGCAGGAAGCACGGCACGCTATCGATCGAACGTCGAAAATGCAATTCGACGCATCTTGCCGCGCGCGCAAATTAATGCAAATTATGCGGGGTCTCTCGCTTTCCGCGGCCACGTCGTGAACCGCTAATGTATATACGGCCCGTCGCGACATTGGCGGCGATCATAAACCGATAATATAAGTTTTGTCATGAAATCGTTACGACATCGGCATTGTATCGTTCGAATGCTTCGAAACCCGGCTCCAAGTTCGATACATGAGCGAGTAAAAGAAATAGACAGGTTGTGTCACGCGTTCTGGAAGTTTCCACCGGAACGAAAGCATAAGAAAAAGAGAGATAGATGTATGCGTACGGTGTTTACAACGAAAGAAAAACAGCGCGCGCGGAGCGCGCTTTAAAGTTCCACGCGACTGTTGTGTTTACAAATCGCAGCAACTCCACGCGCGTGAACACAAAAACAAATAGCACCTGAAATCGCGCGTCACCGGGCGACCCGTACGCGACTATCTTCACCTCGGCCGCGAGAAAGACGCTCGGCACCCTTTAATCTCGATTCGCACTGACAATTCTACATATTAACGCCCGGCGTAAAACTAACTTATCACCATTTATCGTTCGCGCACCACCTACTGCCGCGATCTCCCCCCACGAATTGCACGGCGCCTGTTATCACCTGTCAGATGCGTTAATTATTAGCGTGCCGTCCATCCTGCGCGCGCGACATACACGCATGCATATATACAACTTCAGACATGTTATTGCACTCACCAATGCGAAGACGCGGGTGCCGCCAGCCGATGATCCGCGCAGGAAAATCCTCGCGACAGGTAGTCGTCGTCGTCCCCTCGAAGCAGTGTGGCGATGTCCGGAGCACTCATGAAGCACAAGCCCGTCGTCGTCTTCTGCACCGCCGCCGTCGCCGTCGTTGCCGTCGTGGTCGTCGTGGTCGTCGTGGTCGTCGTCGTCGTTGTCGTCGTTGTCGTGATCGTCGTTGTCGGCGACGTCGTTGTAACGGAGCCGCGCGAATACACGAGGATCTGCGCGAGAGCGCGGCGTTTCACACAGAAACTAGAATTCCCGATATCCGGACTCACTGAGGCCCGCGGTCACGATCGATCCGTTGCACGCGTGCCGCCGCCGCCGAACACTTCGCGGGATATATTCGCGCGTCAATCGCCGCCAAATCGTGCTCGTCGTCGCGAACCGTCCGTCGCTGCGCCAATCGTGCACTGAGGCGTACCAACCCGCGGCCGTTAGTGTCGCTGCGCGCCACCGCGCTGCCGGCGCGACCTCTCTCTCTCTTTCTCTCTCGCTGCCTCTGTCTCTCTCTCGCTGCTGACGCGCAATTAATTCGAACACACGTCCACTCGCTGCGGCGTTCCGACGCGAAGTGAGGAGCGACGCGCGCCGCGCCGCGCCGCGCCGCGACACGACACTCGCCGGGAGCGACCGACACGACACGACGCGGCGCGACGTGCGCGCCAATGTATATATCCGTGAGTCTCGCTCCCGCGCTCTCACTCTCTCTCTCTCTCTCTCTCTTTCTCTCTTTCTCTACCCGTGAAGGGTAACACGGAATACAGGGGATCGCCGTCGCTGCGGAGCGCGCGTTACGCTGTCGCCGCGCGCGCGTCTCTTACGTCATAGCGGAGATCACGTCACGCGGGATGCGCGAAGTGGGCGCCACTATACTTCCTCACGGATCGCCAGCTTTCTGCAGGTTTCTTAAATTGATGTTAAAGGTATGCTCTGAATGCCGACATAACGTAGTTCCATAGGCCGGTATTCATAGTCGAATCTTATTTCAAGACTGTCTTAAGATAGTACATGCACAAAATGAATTATCCAAGAATTCGTTGAAATTTACACTATATATAAATTTTAATATTATCTAATGCACTATATATAAATTTTAATATTATCTAATTACTGGTGCAATTAGAAATAGATTGACCATGCAAAAGCTGAGATAACGAAAGTCAAAGTTGGCACTTTTAACGTGTATCGCATTACGAAAATAGCTCCCGATAAAATATTTCTAATTCTGGTCGTCAAACTACATCCAAGAGTTTTATGAAAAACTACAATAATATTCAAGACTAATTATACGGATATAATAAAAATATCAAAATTTTTTACCACATAGTTTTAAAGATATCGACGTCTAAATGTCTTAATCTAGTATTATTGTAAGTACGAAAAATTGAAGCGTGAAGTGTAGCAACAACGCATGTGTAAGTGTGTGTTCGTTGGGACGCGTCACTGTTATGTGTGTGTGTAGTAGAGACAGTTTCAGTCAAAATCAATTGGTTGCGCACGTAACCAAGAAGGAACTTTTTTTTTCTACTGTAGGACTAAACTTTTTGATAGTACTATCGCGATAGTACTACCTTAAGAAATGTCTTAAGATGCGAATACGGTTCTGTGATTGGTTCATGACATCTTGAAACAGTATTTAATACGATCTTAAATATAAGATTGGACTATGAGTATCGGCCATAGTCTTTTCTTTTCTTCTGGAAGCATCAAATTGAAAATATTTTTACAGAGTGAAAGTACAAACGTTAATGAGTGGATGATGCTTAATAGTTACATTAAATAAATAAACATTTTTTTATAATCGTTCGGTAAATAAAACATTTTTTTGTTAATTTCTGTGTGTGTGTGTGTGTGTGTGTGTGTGTGTGTGTGTGTGTCAGCATCAAACGCTCATTCATTAACGTTTGTGTTATTATCCTGTAAAAGCAATTTCGCATTTTTATTTGACGCATCCAATTAGAAAAACAGAAAGAAATTACGAAACTATGTTATATCGGTATCTCTAGCATTCAGCCTTAACCTCTTCAGTGGCGATTAAACATATCCGCGCGATTCCCCTTGGAAGCGTATCTAGGTTTCCCTTTATACCGTTACTTTCTTTGCGGAATGCTGAAAAATAAAATACAAAAAATATATATATATATAAAATTTGTATTAGTTGTGAGTAGAAAAATTAAACACATTTAAGAGCTAAACTAACTAAACTGTAATGACTCGATGGTAATTTTCTGCGCAAACGATTTTTCAAGATGCGTGACAAAAAACTGATGAAGAATTGTGCGGAAAAGTGCGATATTGCTACGTGTTAAGTTCGCCATCGCGTGGACGATGCCGAAAAATACGGCATCGTCGAAATACTTGTTCCGCCAGCTATCACGCCGCATATATTTACACTGCATATTGCTGCCCGGAAGCAGTATCGAACAACAAACATCGCGTCGGCGTAAACGCTCAATTAATATCAAGTAACGAATATCGGTTAAACAGTGATTTCGGCGTCGCTCGGGTTTTATATGGCGTAGCGCGCGCGGAAAGTTTAACAAAATATTGTTAATAATCGCGCGCTCGCGGACACGAGCGAGAGGAAGCAGAGCAGAGTAGAATAGAAAGAGAGAGAGAGAGAGAGAGGGAGAGAGAGGGAGGAAGAGAGGGTGGGAGTGTAATCGTCGCTTTTATCGGCCTCCACACCCGGTAACGAGTGCCCGAAAATTCCTCGGTCGGTTCGCGCGCACTGACGTCGCCCTCGCGATAATAATTACTGCTAATGTAAATGTTCGTTAATGGATGTCATTAAATGCAACGCCGGCGGAATGGCCGCGGGGGCGTCCGTGTAAGTCTATACACACGCTCGCGGGGCTTTGCCAATTATATTAATTAAATAAACATTATAATCAGCTAATTAAATCTAGCGTACTCAACCCCTCGTCTCGACCCCCCGCGCCGCCTGCCCCGCGGTGCGCGCTCGCGCTTCCACATCTCGCTCTACCGTAAAGATACACAATATCGTGAAATTCAATCGTGTCGAGCAAGATTTACTATCGAGAATCGCTCGCGCGCGCGCGCTTCGTCGCGGCATTTCAGCGCTACGATCCGAGACGCGTAATTGCTCACCGATAAACGTTTAATTAAACTCCTCGCGGAAAAGTCTGTGGATTTTTACGGTGGCGCAACGCTCTCCTCCTCCTCTTCGTTTTTCTCTTCCTCCTCCTCCTTCTCCTCCACGGGAATATCCTCGAAAAGACGACCGCGCGCACCGGTTGCATCCGCGCGCGCGCGCGCGCGCGCACGCGGCTTAATGTTTACTCCCTAATTAGACGTCTCCTCGTAAAAGACGCGAGAGAATCTCGCTTTATAATCAAAATAAATACCGTCGCCGTGTTAAATATCCGCCCCGCGAGTGTTTCACCCCCGGGATCATAATCCTACAATTCTGCGCTGTGAGCCGTGTGAATGCGAGATTAAGGCGGGTTTGGAAAATTAAAGCTCCGCAATTAACGCTAACTGTCGGGTACGGATATAGATTGCGAGCGGAGTTGCAAAACGACCGATTCAATTATGGGATCGATTCTGTCGACCGACGTCATCCGCGATCGCGACGATTCTTAAGTACGCACACGAGTGTGCGTGCGCGCGCGCGTATGCACACACTTGCACGTGTGTATCGGCACACGCACGCACCGACACGAAACTCTGCGGAGACCGGCCGGTTACACCGGCCCTCGAAAAGCGGTTCGTGTCATTAGTATGTTAATTGGTAACAGCCTGCCTGGCTTGCCTCCCTCGTCCCCGACTCTCGCCCCTGCCACGCCAACCAACCCGCCCGCCCGCCC